CACACACACACACACACACACACACACACACACACACACACACACACACACACACACACACACACACACACACACACACACACACACACACACACACACATTTAGTGGGATGTGCAAACATACAGTAGAAACAATGAGTCATTCAGCATAATCCTCAGATTGACTGTATATGTGCAGGAGTCATTAAGGCCTTTTCATGTTTGTCATCCCATCCTTTAATCTTTCCTTAATCCTTAAGTACCAATGAGCTTCTCCTCCTATTCATTCCTGAGGCGCCCACTGGTGTAACAGTGTTTGAAAAGTAAACATCCAGTAACAGTGATGCCAAGAAAATCTGCGGCCGAGCTTCAACCCACTGATTCGGTGAAGCACAAAATGAGCCAAACGTTTGTTTATGGCTGGAAATGATTTGTATTGCTGGTATTAAGTCCAGTGATGAACTGTAAACACCGAATGGAAATGTCCTGCTTCATGTTTGTGCAAATGAAGAGTTATTTGCTTATTTTAATATATTGTTTTGTGGCGTTTTATTGGATTACAAATCTAAAGATTGTTGTAACGCTGCAGCACTTAATATTGATTTGCAATACCGAAAAACGAATAATTAAGTAGATTTAATCAAAACCGTTATGCAAATACTCAAACAATAAACATATTATTAAAGTAAAACGGCTGTTACATATTGAGCTTTAATTTCTATCATGTCTCTTTACCAAATCCAAACGAAATGTGAAAAAGGGAGATTGGTGAATTGAGAAGCCTTGAGTAGTTTTTGGCTATACCCGTGTCTAAGAAAATATAACTTAAATAAGTAAATGTGCCAGCAGTAGACTAACTGCATATACTGTATATGTGAAGCAATGCTAACTCAAATACAGAGTGACCTTGCTCCACATTGTTCTGATCTATTATTTATACATATTTTAAATATCTGCATAAGAAACCAAACTATAAGTGTTGCACATTTGTCAATATACATGATTCAAATCTTGGAGACGGAAAAGTGCGCGTTAGCACACATCATCCACATAATGACAGTACATCACAACATTTATTTCAATGATTGTAGTTGTGGGAGGCAGCATGAGCATGTTCCAGGTGTAGGCGGTACTGAAGCTCTTTTATTATGTAAGCTTCTGATGTAGAAAACACTGATGTGCATGTTCTTGTGTAACTAAACATTCAATATTTGGAGATTCACTTTTGGAATGAATGCACCATTTGGATCACAGAGGGCAAACAGTTTGTGCAAATACTATCATTTCCATCTGAAAAGCACAGTGCACTGTATCATATATGTATTTAATAATATGTGATCACGTGAGACTCCATACCTTCTCCACACTTGCATAGCGACTCGCCAGCTGCTTCCGGAGGTCGGCGATGTGATGGTCGTACTTTTTCAGGTCCTTCTTGAAGTTGTCGCATCTGAACGTCAGCAAGGGCTTTTCTACCTCAGAGTGGAGCTGGGGAAAAAATAAAAAGTTTCTCAGCTGCTGGTCTAATCTTGTTGTGTCCTTTGAGGGAAGGCAGATAAATAAAAAAACATCCCTTTAATCACAGGAGGAAATCGGGAAAACAACTTTTTATAAAACTTGGTGAAAGAGTGTAATATTGGGCTGAGAAAGGACCCAATCGAATATAAAGCGGGTTATATTTCAATATTTCACGGAAGGAAACAGCATGGGGGAGGTCTGCACTCTTAAAGTGCATTTCTATTTTGGCTATATTATGACTGGCTCAGGGGGTTACATGGATTTCTACCAGTCAGAGGGTCAGTGGTTCGATCCCCAGCACCTGCAGTCAATATTTCAAAGTCTCCTCTGGCAGGACACTTAACCAGGCACGTGTACGGTATTGAAGTGTATGTAAGTCTTATAACAGCTTAAAGACCATGTCAATAAGTGCTGTGTTAAGCAAATGATGGTCTATGAGAACAAATAGAACACACACCTGTAATTCAATAAAGTCACCTAAATATTATTATTGTTATTAGTTTGAAAACATAAATCCATGTCCCAAGTACTATTCTAGATTAACTTACAGTAAGACCTGTTTTGCAGATACATCGCTTAGGTATAACTCAGCCCCTTGTCGGAACAATGATTTTCTTTTGATTGGTGACTACTATTTAAATACTACTTTTTTATTACAACTAACTGAACTTTTGCAATGCTTTATTTTCCTCTGACAATTTACACATTTCTTGTTAATGCCTTTTAGTTAATAAAAGCCTCTTTGAGACGTTGTCTTGTCCTATTTGCAGCACCTTTGCTGATCAGCAGGTGTTCCAGGTTTGTTTCTGGATCTCATTTTCAAACAATGACACCTTCTCCTGGATTACCACAAGAGACAGCCTATTTGTAACACTCTTGTGACTGAACAGACAATCATTAAAATGAATATCTATAACGTCATTACTCTAATAAAGCCTGTTCTACAAATGCACATCCATCACCATAAAGGATATGATTACACGTTTCCATTTCTTCCACCAAGCCCTTATCTTAAAATATGAAAAAGCCAATTTTGTATGACACTTCAATAAACTACATATTGCTTGTGAGCAGTGTTGGCTCTCCTCACAGAATGCTAATCTGGTGCAAATGCCAGAGCTGGAAGATGAAAACGTAGCTTATTAGAGCGCGAGCCGGTGCCTCTGCAGGCTTGATAAGACTTCTCATTCCCTGCCTGACCACGCTTTACCTTCCCCTCACCCATCTCATAATGAAGCAGAGTGTCAGAGCACTGGTGGAGCGTGGGGGGGGGCTTCACTGCCCTGGGTGGGGGCTCGTCACAACACGTAACTAATTAATCAGACAACAGAGGGCTACTGAAGAGCTGCGAGGCGGCCGCGGCGTTATTTAAGGCTCCATCTGATGCCACGGTGCGGTTTCTGCATGGCTGCTAATCGGAGCGCGGACAGGTCGTTTTCTTCAGTCAGCGCTGACGAGGCTGAGGTAAACGAGCCCAGACACCTCAGGACATGGTCAGATCAAGTGTCCATTACTTCAGATAATTGAAAACATTTAACACCTGACCTGAAGGGGCAGAGAACTGCACACCAAGGACATCCACACAGAGATGAAGGAGGACTAAATGTTTGTGATTTAGAGAGCTATCAAAGGTTAACTTAAATGTCTAATATGTAAGGTTTCTGCATTGTAATGTCTCAAAATGAGACTATTGTTGTGTATGTTAATGATTTGTGTACATCATCTCAAAACCCAAGTTATCTGAAACATTTCAACCTAGAGAAATCTGTAATTTGAATCAAGGTAACGATGCGCTTCATCTCGTATAGAGTATGCATATTTCATAAGCTGTCATATTTAACATTTAATCATATTTTAATACAAAAATTCTTATAATACATTCAAAATTCTTATAATAAATTTTTCAGATCCTAGTCATTTTAAAATATATATTTGAACTAATAGTTATTTTTGATTAATTAATTCTAAAAACAATGATGAGTTTCAAAAAATTATGCAAATGTACACATATATTATTTAATATTTAAACAATTTCATGTACTCAGGTAACAGTTATTTATTGTGCGTTTAAGGTGTTATTTACCCTTAAACCTAAAATCGTTATAAACCGATGAATAATTGGTCTAGAAAATGTCAAAAAGGATAGGTAGAAAAGACAATTATTATTTACCAAAGCTTAAGGTGTATTCTTCATATTTCTTGCTTTGTTTGACCATTAATCAGAAACCCCCAAAATTGCAGTCTCTTAAATATATGTCAGAGAAAATAAGCTCACTGAGTGTTTTTCATTTTCTTTTCATTGATACCAATTCTTAAAAAAATTGCTTTAGATTAAGATAACTTTCAATCCATTGATGAATGGTTTTCAGGTCTACTGTACATGAGATCGATATAAATGCATTGCCTCCTCCATTTTCCTGAGCAGATCTTACCTTGTTGGAGAACTTGAGGTGGACTTCAGCTTCATCATGAAGACTCTTCTTCAGCTGAGTCCACGCCTCTCCCAGAGTCCTGAGGAAACATCAAGTCAAATAAATCCACTTTACTGTATCTACTGACTTTTGGAGTAAATGCTCGGTTTCAGTAAAGCAAATAATCACACAGTTTAGCTTTGAACAAAAAATATATTTAACTGTGTTTCCATCGTTTCTCAAGTACTGCACTTAAAGGTGGGGTATGTCATTTATTTCAGATACACTTTTTGTTATATTCCATGGAATGCTCTTAACATCCCGATAGCAATGAATGTCTTAAGTGCTTTGACAAAAAATCCATTAAAAAAATTCATCTGTGGAAGCCGTAGTACTGTAAAAAGCACGACCAATCATCTGAGCCGGCCCGGCTAAAATTACTGGATGGCCTTCCTGCCTGTCAGCCTTTCCATCTGTGCACAAACTTATCTCGTGCCCTCATTGGTCATGTGCACGTTCGTGTGTGTTGGAGGAGGGGCTCTGTAAGGAAGTTTGAAGGAAGAGGCAGATTTTTTTCGGCTGCGTATTTTCAAATCTAGCGCACTCGAGCTGGTTTCTCCAAAGTTACCTAACCCACCTTTAAGTCAAATTGTATATACCTATACTTCCATCAGTATTATTATAATGACAGCTTTTACATTAACTACATTACATTTCATTAGGAAAAATTGTAGTTTTATCAGTTACTTTTTAGTTTACATGTACAAAAGTTTGTAGTTGTGCCGCCATCTCTAACTCATGAGCTATCCAGCGGCTCATATGCAGTGTCCGCCAGGTAAAAAGGTTTTAACATTTCAGGCAATGTCCTCCCTTCTATCTCACCATTTCACCACTGTTTCTTTATTAAAAGCACTTTCTGGGCCAAAACAAAACTATGAAGTTTATGAAGCAAGATCCATTATTAAAGTATGGACCATCCAAGACTTTGACAACATTACAATTATATTATAATATGTTTTAAAAAAAAAGAAGGAATGAATCAGACTATTTTTGCTTATTGAGTAGCACAAAGGACATTTGAATTACATTTTTCTTCTACTAAGTAAAACAAAACTGACACCAATGATGTTGTATCCATTGTAAGCATATAGTAGTAGTAAATATCTGACACAATTCTAAAATCTGCCATACAAAAATAAGTCTAAATTGTAATGAATGTTAAGAAACGCACCTTTTACAACCTCTCTGATTGTCTGACCGGAATACAATCGATATCTAACCTCAGTTCCTCCATTAGTATCATTTTTGCGGCCAAAAGAAAACTGTTCTGTATTGGAGGAAACTCCAGAGCTGGAGAGCAACCAAATCACTGCTTCTCCAGCCAAGCCTCAGCTTTTTTTAATCTATGAATTTAGAAAATCTGCTCAAAGATTTCAGTGTCGATTTGCTGACAGCTTTGATAGCAGAATCAAAAAAGTAGTGTGTGACTAAGTCTATTTTAAAATCTCTATTTTGAGACACAGTTGTGTAATTGCTAAGCCTGCGTGCTGCGTGCTGCAGAGCGAGCGATGGAGAACACCCGGTGTTGTCACAGCTTCTGTTTACAGAACTCACCCTTCATCCTGCGCTGCCAGGGGGCTCAGAGACAGCTTGGAGAGATTCTTGGCGTACTCTTCTTCAATCTTTATCCTGAAACAGAAAGAGTGAGATGAGCTGTGTGGCTCAAGGGAGAACAGAAGCTGCTTCAGTGAGGTATAGTCAAAAACTTTTACGCACTTCATTTCAAAAGTGCATTGCAGCAGAACAACAGAAATCAAGATATACTTTATTTTCTTTGTTTTGAACTCAAATACAAAAATAATAAAAGATAATAAGCAATTACTTTAAAATTGATGAAAAAGGCGTAGGCTGATGCCAAAGCTACACGTACAGCTTTTACATTTATTAGTTTCTACAATTTATTTATATAAATAAAAAAATAAAAACGTCAAACACAGTGTCACTTACAAATACATACAAAACACAATAACATACATAAGGGAAGTATTAAATGAATAGACACAAATAATAATAGTACATCTTGCTTTTCTCTTTTCCTTCCAATTTCCTTTGCCTTTTATCCACTTTTGTTTTGCATGAATCTAATTACGTAACATTTGAGAGCCTACTTACTACAATTTGCTGCAAAGGCGGACATCTAGCCATTACCTGTGTTCATGAAAAATCTGCAGTTTCAGAGATTGGAGTATGCTCATATCTTCCCTGAGGGACGTTCAACCAGAGAGTCCATGTTTTTACCCTTTGTGACATTCACTTCCTGCACAGATCTCACATTTACCGTCCACACCTAAAGAAGGTCACGAGGCCCATTCTTTGACTCAATGTTCGGATACTGCGCAGCACCAAGAAACAAAGCGAACCTACACAGAAAGGTCAGCGCCGGGCATACATCCTACTGAAGGATTTTGTTAGACTGCATAATCTTAGTGATCCTGCGACCTCATGCAGGGAAGAAGAACCCTCATTACCGTCCCACGACTCGGACTAGCGTGTGAATAGAGCTTTACAAGTGGGTCGGGCTAATTATATAGATAGCCGTGAGATCGGATGTAAAAGTTTGAACTCCTAATTTGTCACGTTGTTTATTTAAGTGCTGTTTCAGATTCAGTGGCAGTTCAAGCATTTCATCTATTCATATTCTGCGTGCCCAGTTGAGCTCTATAGGCCCTTTAACAACAGGGTACAAGCATTAATTGCTGCTGTAACAAAAACGCTTGGATCCCTTTAACATCCTTCATAAATTGATTATGTCAAATGAGTAAAGCCACCTTTGAAAGGATTTCATACGCTCCATATACATCATTTTGGTAAAGAAGCACCATTTGCAAATTTGGCCAACAACAATTTATATATTTTTTAAAGGTGATCTTTCATGCAAAATGCACTTTTGTACGTCTTTTATACATGAATATGTGTCCCCGGTGTTCCAGGGAACTCACCAAGTGTCAGAAAACACAACCCTCTCTATTTTCCTCCATACCCAAATCTCTTAAAAAGGGGCTGCAACGGATCTGATACAGACTGATTCAGATTTGAACACTTCTATGACGTCACAGAAGTGGCGCTACGGCTATTGGGCCAACTCAACCAATCAGGAGGAGACAGCCACGGACATTGCCGTTCGAAAGCGCAGGAAACGCTGTAGTACATATGCCAGGCCTGTAGATGGTGCTGTTCTCACAGAATCAGCCCATGCAAAGACAGTGTTAAATTGAGCGAAATGAGGAATGGCTAAAATGCATGATCTGTTTGGTATTTTGAAAAATAAAAAGTATAAATATGCCTTATATAGGTATGGTCCTACACTATATTATTCAAATATAGCATGATAGGTCCACTTTAACTCCAGTTGATTTTTTATACAATGGTAACTGTCATACCATAGAAAATGTAAGTTCAATTGCAGAATGATACAATTAAATAATGTATTCCCTTTTTATTCCCTTTTTGTTTTATGAGTTATTGGATCATTCCTCACGATCAAACACATTTCAAAATAGAAGTGTTCCAGGTAAATTAACTAATAAAAACCAACTGAATATAAATATTTTTGATTCAGTGACTCATTCTTTAAATCTTAACTTTCAGTTTCCATAGTTTCACCTCAAGGACAAAAGCATGCAGTTACACATACTGATGGTGATAACGCAGAGAGACAATCCTGACAGCTCTATTGAACAACAAGAAGGTGCATTCATTGATTTTCTTTAACAAGTACAGTGTGCAGGTTAAACATTTACCAGAATTAGAAAAAAATAACTAAAATCCAATACAATGAAGTCAAAGTTTTTGACATTTTGCATATTCTTTCTTAAAAAAATCTCAGTATTTCCTCCAACAGCTGGTATGGTTAGTTTAGTTTTCAGCACAAGTGACACAATCTGAAGGGTATTGTATATTTCAATTCATCTTCTGTGTTGTCTTCCATTAAAAAAAGCAGCATTTTGTCAACACATTTCCATTTAAAGAGTAAAGAATATACCGAAATACTGAAAGAATAATGTTTCATTTCGGTCTCTAATTGTATAAACTGACACGTTTTTTGTGCTTTGTAAATTGAATTCCTTATTAACATCACAATAATGTTAGTTTTAAGATATAACTGTCAGTTTTGTGGACATTTCTGGATAACCGAGCAGGTTTTCTTTTAAAGTGAGGTACAAGAGTTAAGCCTCTCAGATGTGAGTGTGTAACAGTGTGAAATGAAACGGTTACCTCTCGTGGATAAACTCGGACATCTCCTTCTGCATCTGTTTGCCCTTCAGCTGCTTCTGCAGAAGGACCTCGAAGCCCGCTACCGAGGTCGTGCCCTGTGGGTCTTTCTTGTCGGTCTGAGGATGAGGAGGAGGAGGAGGAGGAGGAGGAGGAGGAGGAGGAGGAGGAGAGCATCATTCAAAAGCATCAGCACTACAGAATGACGCCTCTGTGTTGTCTAGCGTGACTCACACTTGTGTATGTCAAGGAGGACATGCGTTGGTGTGTGTATGCGTCAACCCCCTGATGGATGGATGTGTATTATGTGTGTGTTTCTGAGGAGAGGTGCGGCACTGTGTCATGTCTGTCTGTGACAGGACTGATGAGGAACAAAGGAGCCAGATTTATTTCAAACAGCAAGTCTGAGCAGCAGGTCACTGGACACACGACACGCAGCAATCAGAAAGGGAGCCAAACAGCCATGAAGACGCAGGAAATAGGCATCGGATTTCACTCAATTCTGCACGCTGAAGGCTTTTTCGATAGAGATCTAATTCTATGGAAATGTATGGAAAGTGAAAATTACAGCCGCCACTAGGGAGACATTTAGAGCGAATGATCACTGTGTTTGCAGAGAAGTAGGTCGATCCAACATGAAAGTATTTGTTTTCTATTCACATTGTTGTTTTTAGTCGCATCATTTAATGTACGCTTTTAGCAGCACTTTACATTTACCAGCAGAGATTTGTTGGAAAAGGTCAACATAATGTGTTGACAGGAGCCTTCTGGTGCTTTTCTGGTGGGCGGGCTGTGTGGCTGCACAATATGAAGAAAATATGCAATAATGTTTTAGAAAGATAACACCTGCAATGAATAAACAGACGTTATAGTGTACTAAGTTGCATTTCTGTAGCTTTCAGCGTTCTGTTCAAAAACACATACTGCCTCTTAAATGTTTTCATTCATTCATTCTTTAGTTGAAGGAATTGAACAGAGCAGAGAAGGTAGCCAATAAAGTGGTTATATTTTAAAGAGTAGTTTTAATCCACTTAAAAAATCTCTGAGGTCCAATTTCATAGTCTTTTGACACTAAAACTATTTCATATTTAACTATATTCACTATAACTTGTTTACTATATTTTGTGCAGACGTTTTGGGAAGTTGGACCAAAGAGAGGCACAAAGTGTTTCATAGTAGTGAACATGGGAACATCTGATTTGTTAGTTAGTTAGTTATTGATTGCGTGCGTGCGGATACTTGCAATAAGCTATATATATATACTGTATATACTGACCCAGCCAATGTATAATTTAAGGTGTCTTGTATGCAGTGCATCTACTTCTTGCTTTTCATAGATACCAGAAGACAGAGACTATATTTAGTTGTGCCTAACAGGTATACATAAAGTTGGCACATATCTTCACCAAAGTCTCACAGTCCATCATGGTCATACGTTCAGCAGAACTCACCCAGAAGTAGTCGCAGTAGCTCCATTCGTTGGGCTTCAGGAGCTGCTGCTCCGGACTCCCTCCAGGCAGAGGGAACGTCACACAGTTGATCTGAAGCAAAGAGAGGAAACACAGAGATGACAGAGAGCAATGAGGGAGAAACGTACAGGAGATAAATAACAGATCTGTGAGGAGACAGGAAAAGAAGGAAATTATGTTTCTAGGAGAGGAAGGTAACATAACTGGGTTTCATTTAGACAGTTACTGACTTTGGACAAATAACCTTTTTACTTAAATACAGTTATCAAAGGTACTCGAGTGTTTCCATGTTCTGCTACATCATAATTCTACTTCATTACACTTTGGGAATACGTTCTACTGCAGTACATTTATTTAGCAGACACAGTTACAGTACACTGCTGTAATTTAAACTGATGTCTATGTGCATGCTGCAGTATGGGTAACGATTTAAGTATTTTCTATTATTCAGTATGTTTTATGTTTTTATTTAATTATATTGTCCATTACTTTTACACACTATCTCTGGATTTATGTCCATTTTGCCTTCTTTCCCATATTGTTAAGCACCTTTTGAGGCATTTCTTCAATGAAAGGAACTGTTAAAAATACAGTTTATTGTTATTTTAAGTAAATACAACTTAGTTTGGCTTCATTGCCATGGATCAGATGTGTATATGCTGTTTGAATATTAAATTAATTAACTCTCAAATCTTTCAATAAAAACGATGTCGCAGGTATCTGTGCTGTTACTAGAATATGAGTACTGAGTCCACCAGTGCATTTGGATCATGTAGATGAGAGGAACAAGGTCAGCCGTGGATAAACAAACATATGTTGGCCATCCAGAAGGTGAGTTTTACAGGCTTCAGGGAGAGAAACCTGTCAACTCCAAAGAACAAAATGTGTGGCGCTGCAGATAAACACCCCCAGCACTCAGCCTGAATACAGACTCCATGGGCCGCAGCGTCTTCAATTACTCCTGGGGGTGCAATTATGTAATGTTCACCATCTGTGAGCCCTCCCTCCTGGCACGGCAAGAAAACCCTCTGTGCCATGTGAGCCGCTGCAAACTACACGGGCATCCAGACAGGATGCTCCATCCGGCACAGAACAGAAACACACTGAGTCACAGTGCTCACCACATGAGCTCACCGCTGTGCTTCTCACACACTGAAGATAAACACGCGGCGTTCAGCAGCTGCCTCAAATGAACTGCTTCGTCCTGCTTCTCTTGCCAATGGAAAGGTGTGACAGAGACAGATTGAATTGTGGAAAACAACCCTGTCAGGATGTTTAACAGATTATACTTTGTGTGCTGCTTTACCAAAAATAATAAAGGGAAGCAGGAGACTGAAGAAGAGAGGCAGGTTTGGAGTAATGGTCACGTGACACGCTTTTGGCCCTGGAGGAGCCCAACACATAATAAGGCTTGGTGAGAAACCACATTTTGAGACATACAATGTGGTATTGTGGTGACATATTCAACTTATAAAGTTGAGATGTTGAACTTTTTAGCAAGCTGGTTTACACATCCAGCAGTCAAAGAGACTGATAATTCATTAGGAGTCATGTTTTCTATTCGCTGCTGAGCAAATAGTGTACAGTATGTTCTTAAGCTAATTGTTTCTAACATTGCTATGAAAGCGCTTAGAGTGGGATACAAGACTAAAGTTGTGGCTCAGACAGATAATCAATGAACTGAAACCCACTATAAAGCTTTGTCACACGACTAGGTGAGCTGCAGATTAAGCTAACAAGTCTTTGGTTCATGAATAACAACCTCTTTTACATTTTTATAATAAACACAACAGTGACAAACTGACAGACTATTATCACTTAATACAGCAAAGCAAACTGTTTGCCTATATACAGGACTGTCTCAGAAAATTAGAATATTGTGATAAAGTTCTTTATTTTCTGTAATGCAATTAAAAAAACAAAAATGTCATACATTCTGGATTCATTACAAATCAACTGAAATATTGCAAGCCTTTTATTATTTTAATATTGCTGATTATGGCATACAGCTTAAGAAAACTCAAATATCCTATCTCTAAATATTAGAATATCATGAAAAAGTATACTAGTAGGGTGTTCAACGAATCACTTGAATCGTCTAATTAACTCGAAACACCTGCAAGGGTTTCCTGAGCCTTGAAAAACACTCAGCTTGGTTCAGTAAACTAAATCACAAGTATGGGGAAGACTGCTGATCTGACTGCTGTCCAGAGGACCGTCATTGACACCCTCCATCAGGAGGGTAAGACACAAAAAGAAATTTCTCAAAGAGCAAGCTGTTCACAGAGTGCAGTTTCAAAGCACATCCACAAAAAGTCTGTTGGAAGGGGGAAATGTGGCAGGAAACGCTGCACAACCAAGAGAGATGACCGCAGCCTTAACAGCATTGTGAAGAAGAGTCGCTTCCAGAATTTGGGGGAGCTTCAAAGACAGTGGACTGAAGCTGGA